TGAACACACTCGTTCCTAAATCCATCATTGCATTTTTACACGTAATTCCTTGACTTTTATGTACAGTTATTCCATAACTGAGAGACAATGGAAATTGTTTCCGATGTACCACTATTTTGTGGAATACTTCGAATTTAATATCTACTCTCGTTATTATGACTTGTTTATTATCAGAAGTAACTATTGTAACGGAATCAATACGATTTCCATCAATAGAGCGATGAATCGCAATTACAATGCCTATTGTTCCATTGACAAGTCCCAAGGTGATATCAATGTTTCGTCGAATCATCACTTTAGCGCCAATTTTAATCGCTATTACTCTTTCAATACCAGCTGTTTCCGAAACTTTTTCATCTTTGTCTTTTAAAATTTTGTGCACTTTTTTCTTCATTGCTGGAGCACAGTCGACATCATCTTCTGCTATCAGTAGAATTTCATCGCCATTAATTTTATCGAGCATCGCCGTGTTCAAAGTCGTGCACAAATAACACGTGGGTAATAAACATATTGTATCAACCGGTAATTGATTCATATAAGTGCAAAGTTCATTCAATCTTTCATCGCAACTTCCTTTGAAATTAATTTTTCTCGACTGGAGAACATTGATATCAGAATCCGTTACCAAACCTATCCGAATTCTAGAAAGTATCTCGCGGTATGTATTGTCACATCTTTGTCGCATATTAATCAAAAGTTCATCGTATTCGAATAATCTCCACAAATCAGATCCACCCATGGTACTTAAATACTTCTGAATCTCTGATCGAGACATTTTAACGAACGGAAATTGTTCTTTTACAGGGGGAAGCTGCAACAAGTCTCCAAACAGAAGAATGTGTTTTCTGCCAAAAAAAACCGTCATCTGTATCTGTCGTGTCGAAAATTTCACATAATCGTAAATTAATAAACATCAGTGTCACATTCGAAATCATGGAAACCTCATCGATTATAAATAAGTCGAAATTCTTTAATTTCTCTCTCAAAGTTTTCAAAACCATATCTGACAAGTGCGTATACTTTGCCATGGATTCATGGGTAATAGGTAGCTGA